AGGGTTTAGGGTTTAGGGTTTAGGGTTTAGGGTTTATTGTGTGTAACATCAGGATATAGGGGGCCTAACGATAGGTAAACGGGTGCAGCAGGAGACGCTGCAGCAGCAGCAGCAGCAGCTGCAGCAGCTGCTGCAGCAGCAGCATTTGCTGCGGGCCCTTAAGAACATTCGTCAGTTTACTGCTGCTGAACAGATAGCAGAACAGGTGAGATACTTGCTGCTGCTGCTGCTGCTGCTGCTGCTGCTGCTGCTGCTGTTGCTGCTGCTGCTGCTGCAAGAATAAGCATGGCAGCAGCAGCAGCAGCAGCAGCAGAAGCAACATCTGATGCAGCACCAATAGCAGCAATAGTAGCAGTAGCAGCACCAGCAGCAGCAGAAGCAACAGCAGCAGCAGCACCTGTAGAAGCAGCAGCAGCAGCAACACCTATAGAAGCAGCAGCAGCAGCAGCAGCAGCAGCAGCAGCAGCAGCAGCAGCAGCATTGCTGTGTATGTGCAGTCATCATCGGCGGTGTACAGCGAGGTGAAACGAAGAGATAAATATAAACGCATCTTCCGCAGCAGCAGCAGCAGCAGCAGCAGCAGCAGCAGCAGCAGCAGGGGGTGGTTGTATGGGGGAGAAGGAGACAGTGCAGCAGCAGATGAAGACGATGAAGAGGAGACAGCAGCAGCAGCAGCAGCAGCAGCAGCAGATCACAAAGCAGAAGAATTAGCTTTTCTAGAGGCGCTGCAACTGCAGCAGCAGCAGCAGCAGCAACTGCAGCAGCAGCAGCAGCAGCAGCAGCAGCAAACACTCCCCGGACTGAGAGAGATAGAGATGCAGCAAAAGAAAGAACTGCTGCCGCTAGAACCACCCACACTTGAAGACATTCAGCAGCAGGTTTGCTGCTGCTGCTGCTGCTGCTGCTGCTGCTGCTGTTGCTGCTGTTGCTGCTGTTGCTGTTTTGGTTGCTGCTGCTGTGTTGCTGTTGCTGCTGCTGCTGTTGCTGCTGTTGCTGTTGCGGTTGCTGATTAATCTGCGGT